GTTAGTTATAAGTGTGATGTTATCTAATACTTAGAACAAACCATACATATCATTAAATCTACAAATGTAACATTATGTGACCTTGAAGAGCACCATCATTCAAACACTACCACTTTGTTGGTTTATGTTTCACACTCTCATACAATCAAATAATATTATCTGAATGTTACGAGGAAGTTATTGTATGCTCTTCCAATGTCCTAAATATTCACAAGCACACAACTGGAGTGTGTTGCTTGTTGCAATTAATTCCAGCCGATTTAATAAATAACCGACTGCTGGCTGAATTTGAATAGCTTATTTCTACTATACAATATATAATTTCCAGCAATCATTTGAATTATCATGTTTTGTGAGTATTATTTAATTATTTCAACGTTGTAAGCCGAAATGACAGGTTTATGAGTAAATGTATGTCACAGCAACCTTTTTATTTCAGAATATGTATTGATAGATTGTCAAGTTAAATATCATATAATTATGCTTTGTATTTCGTTTACTTGATGAACAATCATCCATTTTTTTTGTTGCATTTATAACACTCTATGGGTCTAAAGCATTCATCACTGTAAATAATTTTTTCCCTCTAATTTGAGTAAGCATTATAGTGTCGTCACACATTCACTCTATATAGTAACTGTTCTAATCGTCGACAGACTACTGGTTACAACAGGTTTCCTATTGCATTTCCTACAGAGTCAAGTATTAAACATGCGAGAAACCCTGAACAAGAGCAGGAGAGATGAGTGATATCTATCTGGTTCTCTTCGCTTTTTAGTTGATATCACTATTCTAATGAATACTACATAGCAATACTGATAGAATGTAGTTGGTTCTAAAAAAGTCTCTATCTAAAATAAATTTATTAAAATCAACATTTGAATGTCTAATTATTTTTTAATTATTATTTATGTTATGAAATAATACTAGGTTAAAAAATTATAAGTAATTATGTTTAGTAGAAAGATTAATTTAAGTTACTAGTTTTTGTTTTCAAAAATAGGGCCATCACTATTGATTACAGAATAAATAGACATTCTCATTAATAAACCATCTATTTTTATCTATCACCAATATTATTGATCCGAAACTATATTTTCTCCTTTCTCACCCGCATCAAATTAGAAAGGAACGTATAGTCACGAATGAATAAAATTTACACCAGCTTATAAAATAGAATATTAATTTTTTTTCTAAAAAAAACTATACGAGTTTATAGATGGTAATGATATTAACACTAATTTATGAAGTGATAATGACTAAACCAACTTTGAATTGATCAATTGGAGTCGTTTTTCTGTGATGCAAATCAATAACTCAGTGAGTAGCAAAATAAACTAAACCTATAAAGTTATTATTTTCTTAGCATATCACTACAACATAATATCGATTTCAGAAAATAAAATTAAGTGTAACTGTTTGTAGAATAGGGATGCTACCCTCCAACTCAGGTCTTATATGGTAGAAAAATGAAAATTTCGGTACTCCGACATGAGACAAACGGTAATAAGAGTGTTTGAGTCCATCTGCATCAAACTGGGCTGCATCTCTTGCTAACATGTGCCACACTATGTGTATACCAAATGCTATACTGCTATATAGAGCTGAAAGTTGTCTGTGAACAATGTGGATAGCTTGGCATTGCTTTGGCAAGTATTGCTAATTGTTCATATAAAAAATTGGTCAGCAGGGTGACCAATTTCATTGATATTGGTGGTTGTTTTGCAACATTTCCGAGGGCCATTGTCATTGGGTTGCTGTATTACATACCACCATTTGACGGTCATGTAAGCGGCGCACATTGACTGACGCGATCATGGATCGGAAATAATCACTATATGTGTACTAGTGTATATAAATAGTGTGAATGGTCCACCAGGGTGTCAGATACCTGTATGGTTGCACCACGGGACTGAGCCGAACTGTCCATGTTGAAATGCTAACAAGTGAGCAGTCTCCTTGGTTCTCCTTAAGATCAATGTAAAATTGCCCTTGACAATAGAGGGTTAGTTTATTTAATTGTATGAAATTGTGTCCGCAGAATATTTAATGACTATCGAACAGTAACTACTGTCTTTTCTCAACGATTTCAGCACAAATTGGACTTTATCCACCATCAACTGAAAAAAATATCAATTGCTTTCAATGATGTAACATTTAGTGAAATATTACATATTGTTAAACCACTTAACTTGACAGGTGGACCTGATTTCTTGATTTATTGATTGAAGTTAGAATTGCAGAGCTTAGAGTTTGTCCTTGTTATGCTCGTCATTTGATACGCTCAAAACTATTGCGAGTTCACCTTAGTCGTTAAACGATAGTGAAGACAAATGATCCAGTGACACGATAGGCTACTCTAATCTAAGCTTCCCAAGGCACAACTAAGTAGAGGAAGAAATCTTGACAAGACGTAGAAAGTGTATTCTACAAGCATCCAGAAAATATGAGGTCCGCAAACACACAATAGAGTTTATTTGTACCTGATAGAAACGTCCTTGTGTGAGACATAAAAATATCGTACTAAAAGAATACATCAACCAATGACAGTCAAGGATCTTCCTGGTGGGAAATGTAATCACAAGGTTAAGTGATCAGCCTATGCTCGAAATCATAGGATACAAAATTAGGACTTTTACCAAGTGAGTTCTGGGGATCTAACGTCCCCAACAGTCCTCAGCTACACATTTACTTATTCAAGTCTACAATCTCGTCTCAAGTTTGACTGGAATGATAAATCTAATCAAATGACTAAGAGACTTTTAATTCTATAATAGAATGATGATGTGAATTTTGTAAGCACAGTTTCTAACTGAAGTTAAAAAAACAGTGAACAAGTGAGACTTTAAATGGTTAGTTATTTAACTGTCAGCTGCATATATATTGAGTCTATATGGTCTGCATGCAATCCTGATGAACTTGTTTCCAAATGGGTTGTTTAATGAACATTTAATACAGATAACTTTGTTATCGAAGTGATAACCAAATGAAGTGTTTTTGAAATACTTCTCTAATCAAAACGATTAATTAATTGTTTGGAAATAAAAGGAAATAATATGCTTGTGAATATTTTGCTGAGAAAGATAACCAAAAAGAAAAGATTATGTTTATTTGTAAAACAGTTTGTTTCTTTAATTTACTTTATTAGAATTACGCAAATATCAATAAAAAAGTATTTTCTGTCGTTTCACGATTTAAGCTATATAGATTGGTACAGATTTGTTTAAAAAAAATCAAGATTTCCTATTGTCATACTACAAAATGACCATGTGAACTTTACAACTGAATCATTTAGTTAAAAAAAAATACAGCACCACCCAAAGGTTGGATTATTTGACTTCAATTAACTAATAATCTAGAGTGATATAATCAATTCATTTTAGTTCAGCTGAAATATCGGTGAGTTATTTCATTAATAAATATGATGAGAAGGAACCTCTAGCTTCTATGACTCTCTTATTTAACAAAAATAATCCGTGTCCACGTTTGACTGATCTGGTTACTTACCTTCATATTTTGCACAGTTTCTTTTCTGCTGTGTGCATAAACTATTTTTTTTTAATTTGACTCCCACATTTCGGAAAATTTTATGCAACTTAAATTAAGAATATTGTCGAGTTACCTTTTATTCTTTAGCGGATACTAACACTGTCATAAAGAATATGTATTTATTAGTTCTTTATTTTACTATTACATAAATTTTAGAAATTTTATTTAGGTATATTAACTTAATTAATATCTCAATTGATTTCAAGTTCTTTCCTTATTCTTCCGGTTATTTGGTTCTCGCTTTTTAAATGTTCCAAATGCTCAGATATTGTACTTCGATGTACAATCATTTTTCCCTGTTGACTTTCAATTTGTTTTCCTACCTTTCAAGTACTGACGAATTTGTTTAGGCTTAAATTTATCGAGGATTAAAACGAAATACCTATTCATGTCTATCTAGTATTCTCTTAAGTAGGTTCTTAATCAATCAGTAAAGTTTATTGAATAAGTGTCTGATCAGTCATTTTCCCGAAATTAACATAATCAGTAATAAAAACAGTACCGGTAAATGGTGTTATGCTGAAATGTAGTCATTTAATTTTGGAAGATTTATCAAGAACTTATCAGTTGTATGAATGAATTTCTGAGTTACATGCAAAGAATGAACTGTAGTTTAGAATTGTAAAGTGAATTCAAATATAGTGAGTTAATTTGATTATGGCTAAGAGAAATTTATTTTGTCTGACTCTAGTAATAGTTACTTATATCCACTTAAGAAAATCCTTGTGCTATTCTTTTTTTCCTCATTTTAAAATGCGATTTGAATAAGTTAAATCTGTGGTAAAACGATTTTATCTAAATTTTTAGGAAGCACGATTTATGAAATTATAAATAGTTGTCATCATGGAGGAGTGAAATGTTCATTGTTTGGAATACTTTCAAACTTTACTGTTATAAAACTAGCAATTGAAATACCATCTGCAGTTATATTTCAAGCAATTTAGAATGTGAACTACTAGGGAAATTGTAAACCATTATTGTTCTACTATAATCTCTTTCATCGTCTAAGAGTTAATTCAGTAATAAAGTTTTGTATGAACTAATATAACTGACCTGATTCTAGGTATGGTTCCATTTCGTCCAATGTAAATAAACCTTTTTCAATGCATAAATTAGCACCTTTTAGTACTATTTCAAAACATTTTTCGGCTTCGTCATCCTTAGTAGCATTCTAAGTGATGTATTGGTTTTAGAGAATAAAACAAAGACAAAATTTCAGTAATGATTTCTTTTGAAATAACAAAACAATAATCATTTCAAATCCATTGCAGTCTATAATTATTAATCCGAAAAATCGTTACCTTTAAAATTCGTATAAAAGTGGTGTTAACTTAAGATAGTTGGAATTTTCGTGAATTTGATAAGTTTAGCCAATTTTAATGTTAAGCAAAGGTTAACTGCCTTTCAAATCCGAGTGTTCGTCTCAATAAAATTACTGAAAAACAACTTTCGATTCGTGCAGTTAATGTACCCAGAGTTTCATACTGACTCGTATGAAGATGAATGATAGATAAGATGTTCAAATCGATGACTTTGGATTAAAAATATGATTCTGTAAACACTGGTTATTTCATGGATTTCCTCCTATATATTCAGCATAATGATAGGTATAGCTGTCAAGCGTTTATCGTTTCCCGACCTACTAAATGTGATGGCAATCTGAAATTTAATGAACTACTCAATGAAGATTAATTGAAGTATATGTTACTCATCATTAGCCTCAGAATATCGTATAATATTGAGGAACATTGTTATACTTAGTGTCCAAATCCTGTCATCTTCATTTCCTAAAACTGGGCTATTTGTTCATTCTAATTAATACATAGTTTAGGTACCAGTAAGCTAAATAATTTTTTGTTAAAAATCTCTTCTACATATTGAAAAATCTTTTGATATATGTTAAATAGTGAGCAATTTTCGAAGTCATATACGGAGAAGGAACGCTTAGTACTAATCCTCTGCTAGCGATTTCATGCAACAAAGTAGATCCACTTTAAGCCATGCTGGTGATTGTTTTAACTTGCACTTCGTTATGATACTAAAATTAACATGTTTTGCTGTCACCATTGATTCAGATGTAATAATTTCTTTGAGTTTATTCACATCTAAATGTTAGTTGTCTATAACATTATCTCTTAAGAATTCATTCATGTCGTAAATGACATTATCCTCTGAAAAAATGGACCAGTAGGTGGTTAGAGTCACAGTATGTAATGAAACGCTAGCGGTTTTCAAAATTTTTCACTTTTTTATCCCCTGAAATGAGAACACTTTAAGTATGTTCACAGAAAGCATGTAGGATAACAGTCCTATAATCACTTAAATGAAGATCCTATGATGAAAATAAGGTCACTTTTGTGTGCGCTTAAAAACTATTTAACTTGATAACTTTCATACCACTTTTAACCGATACATCGTGAAGATTGCTAACTATATCATAGAATACCCGTTAAATGGAATGTATGAACTTCTCACAGCATTCCTGTTTACTACATCAGAAACAAGCATCCCACACTAGCGCATGCAGTTTGAAGTTACATACATTAGTTACCTGACTGAAGCGATGTGGATTCTCTGATCAGTACTAATGGCCCGGACCGATGACCACTTCTTCTCTTCTGTGGAGTCCGACATGTGTGAAAATTAATTCTTAATAAATTCCAGTTTTGGCCTGAAAGGCTGAGAAACAATGTTTTAGATTGTAGCGTTTGGTTTTGTGAATCTGAATCTCACTATATGAGCATGAAGTAATTGTAAAATAGTCTCGTGTAAATCATTGTGTTAACAAAACTCATAATACTATCTACTGTGATGAAAGTAGCAGTATGAATTTATGGATAAATTTTCGTACGATACCACCACTGTTTTTTACAAATTCACAAACCTAGAATCAGTATTTTCAACTATGAATATATGACCATAAACTAGGTAATGGCGAAACATGTTAAAGGGAAGTGGATGACTGAAGAACCGGTATATAAAGTGTGAAGGTGATATTGTGATCCTAAAAACTGAATTCAAAGTCATAATGACATAATTTATAGGTTGGACAAGAAATCATTCATTTAATAACTGCTTCATTCATATTAGTCACTTCATTAAATCTTACCAGATCTATACGATAAATCCGATGCATTGGGTCGAATCGGTATGACGCTGAAGTGTTTCACATTCAGATTTGTCCGTTTTTTCAAGGATCTCTTGGATCGCTTCATAATGGTTCTTTTCAAGTGACTCAATAGTTTTTCTGTTCCACAGCTTTTCACCTGTTAGGAACTAAATGCTTGACAGAGTAGTTTTCATTGTTTACCAGCAAAACGGGTTGCTGTTGAGTTCGATTCCACTCCAGAACTTTATCAAGAGTAAATTTAGTGTTGGGCCTGAGCTCAGGATAACAGTCATCATTATGAGGGTCGTAAAACTAAATATTCCATGGTTAACGTCTCACTAATATGATGTTTACAATTAGATCACAGTTATAATTCTCAAGACAAAACCGCTTCAGGTTAGTTTCAACGATATTCCGCAGAACAAATCTTTCACATTCGAACTCAGGGAAATTTGATATGAGAAAGATTCTCAGCTCTGTAACCATGATTATACGTACGTCTTACTTTTCACGTGCGTTTTCCAAGGTCGCTAACAATGAGTAGCTTCAGTAGTAAGGGAATAACTTATGCGGATTACATGAACTTTCGGAAGTTAGTTTGTGAAAAACCACTTGAAGGTTTTTGCTCATAAAGTGTTTTAGTCTCCTGATAGTAGAAGTTTTCTGACGCGGCTCAAGCAAAATTTTACGGCGCTCGATTAGGTTGGTTGTCCCTTATTGGTTATCTGTTTATCGATAAATAACTGTCGGAATAAGGGTTTAACTTTCAAATAAACTTCAAAATGTGACACACATTCTTTATATTACACAACTGGTGGTATTTCATCCCTCAGTTGAGTAGGTGTGTGACGATAATATAGTCGCTGGACAATCTAATCACGTTCGAGATAGCAGTTCTCATATTTCGGCGCGAAATTAATGCATTATTATTGTTGAGTAATGTTTTGGCATTACAGACAATGTCGTTCTTGGTGGATACCATCAACTCAATCCTAACGCTAACATCCAGCTCTAGTCACTGTTACTTATTCCTCACACTAACAAATAGCTCTCTTTTAACCCTAGTAAATAGATAAGTATTCTCAAGGTCACTTTGGCGTCGCTTGAAAACCGTCCACAAAATGGTCTTCGATAAATAAGTAACTGATAAAAATATCAACTTGTGAAGTTATGTTCCTCCGTTTATGTTTACATTCGCAATTTTTCGGCCTTCTCACCCCATTATATACTATTTTGCATATTCATTCCTCGTACATACTACTGTATATTTATGACTTGTAGGCCAGTCTCTGCTGAAAGTTAGTTATGTTGCAATCAAATTCCTTACCCTTTGTCTTTGAGTGTACCGGACAGTTCATATATGATATCGTATGTGAATCGTTCATTTAATTCCAGGAAGATTACTCATGCAATTGCATAAGCATCCTAGCTTGCTACCTGGGTTAGTCACGGTTTGAAAGTACGGATGTTTCTGTGCAGAACAGTAGTCATAGACTTATGCGAAGTTTGCACGTTCGACTGTAAATAAAAAGAAAACAGGTTTGTATTTCAGTATCCCAACTTTGAAGAAAATTTAGTGAATTTTAGGGAAGCTTCATTAGTAAAAATTGGAAAATTTCATGGAAATGCAACTAAACACCTCAAATATCCTCTTTTTTGAGATTTTCCACCTAAATTTCCTATGGCCCTGAAAAAATATACTAATCTTTAGACTAGTTTGCAGAAAACTGCGAAAATTTGCCTGAGATTCCTTGAACTAGTCTAAAGATTAGTGTATTTTTTCAGGGCCATAGGAAATTTAGGTGGAAAATCTCAAAAAAGAGGATATTTGAGGTGTTTAGTTGCATTTCCATGAAAATTTCCAATTTTTACTAATGAAGCTTCCCTAAAATTCACTAAATTTTCTTCAAAGTTGGGATACTGAAATACAAACCTGTTTTCTTTTTATTTACAGTCGAACGTGCAAACTTCACATAAGTCTATGACTACTGTTCTTCACAGAAACATCCGTACTTTCAAACCGTGACTAACCCAGGTAGCAAGCTAGGATGCTTATGCAATTGCATGAGTAATCTTCCTGGAATTAAATGAACGATTCACATACGATATCATATATGAACTGTCCGGTACACTCAAAGATAAAGGGTAAGGAATTTGATTGCAACATAACTAACTTTCAGCAGAGACTGGCCTACAAGTCATAAATATACAGTAGTATGTACGAGGAATGAATATGCAAAATAGTATATAATGGGGTGAGAAGGCCGAAAAATTGCGAATGTAAACATAAACGGAGGAACATAACTTCACAAGTTGATATTTTTATCAGTTACTTATTTATCGAAGACCATTTTGTGGACGGTTTTCAAGCGACGCCAAAGTGACCTTGAGAATACTTATCTATTTACTAGGGTTAAAAGAGAGCTATTTGTTAGTGTGAGGAATAGGTAACAGTGACTAGAGCTGGATGTTAGCGTTAGGATTGAGTTGATGGTCTCCACCAAGAACGACATTGTCTGTAATGCCAAAACATTACTTAACAATAATAATGCATTAATTTCGCGCCGAAATATGAGAACTGCTATCTCGAACGTGATTAGATTGTCCAGCGACTATATTATCGTCACACACCTACTCAACTGAGGGATAAAATAGCACCAGTTGTGTAAAAATAAAGAGTGTGTGTCACATTTTGAAGTTTATTTGAAAGTTAAACCCTTATTCCGACAGTTATTTATCGATAAACAGATAACCAATAAGGGACAACCAACCTAATCGAGCGCCGTAAGATTTTGCTTGAGCCGCGTCAGAAAACTTCTACTATCAGGAGACTAAAACACTTTATGAGCAAAAACCTTCAAGTGGTTTTTCACAAAACTAACTTCCGAAAGTTCATGTAATCCGCATAAGTTATTCCCTTACTACTGAAGCTACTCATTGTTAGCGACCTTGGAAAACGCACGTGAAAAGTAAGACGTACGTATAATCATGGTTACAGAGCTGAGAATCTTTCTCATATCAAATTTCCCTGAGTTTGAATGTGAAAGATTTGTTCTGCGGAATATCGTTGAAACTAACCTGAAGCGGTTTTGTCTTGAGAATTATAACTGTGATCTAATTGTAAACATCATATTAGTGAAACGTTAACCATGGAATATTTAGTTTTACGACCCTCATAATGATGACTGTTATCCTGAGCTCAGGCCCAACACTAAATTTACTCTTGATAAAGTTCTGGAGTGGAATCGAACTCAACAGCAACCCGTTTTGCTGGTAAACAATGAAAACTACTCTGTCAAGCATTTAGTTCCTAACAGGTGAAAAGCTGTGGAACAGAAAAACTATTGAGTCACTTGAAAAGAACCATTATGAAGCGATCCAAGAGATCCTTGAAAAAACGGACAAATCTGAATATGAAACACTTCAGCGGTCATACCGATTCGACCCAATGCATCGGATTTATCGTATAGATCTGGTAAGATTTAATGAAGTGACTAATATGAATGAAGCAGTTATTAAATGAATGATTTCTTGTTCAACCTATAAATTATGTCATTATGACTTTGAATTCAGTTTTTAGGATCACAATATCACCTTCACACTTTATATACCGGTTCTTCAGTCATCCACTTCCCTTTAACATGTTTCGCCATTACCTAGTTTATGGTCATATATTCATAGTTGAAAATACTGATTCTAGGTTTGTGAATTTGTAAAAAATAGTGGTGGTATCGTACGAAAATTTATCCATAAATTCATACTGCTAATTTCATCACAGTAGATAGTATTATGAGTTTTGTTAACACAGTGATTTACTCGAGACTATTTTACAATTACTTCATGCTCATATAGTGAGATTCAGATTCACAAAACCAAACGCTACAATCTAAAACATTGTTTCTCAGCCTTTCAGGCCAAAACTGGAATTTATTAAGAATTAATTTTCACACATGTCGGACTCCACAGAAGAGACGAAGTGGTCATCGGTCCGGGCCATTAGTACTGATCAGAGAATCCACATCGCTTCAGTCAGGTAACTAATGTATGTAACTTCAAACTGCATGCGCTAGTGTGGGATGCTTGTTTCTGATGTAGTAAATAGGAATGCTGTGAGAAGTTCATACATTCCATTTAACGGGTATTCTATGATATAGTTAGCAATCTTCACGATGTATCGGTTAAAAGTGGTATGAAAGTTATCAAGTTAAATAGTTTTTTAGCGCACACAAAAGTGACCTTATTTTCATCATAGGATCTTCATTTAAGTGATTATAGGACTGTTCTCCTACATGCTTTCTGTGAACATACTTAAAGTGTTCTCATTTCAGGGGATAAAAAAGTGAAAAAATTTTGAAAACCGTTAGCGTTTCATTACATACTGTGACTCTAACCACCTACTGGTCCATTTTTTCAGAGGATAATGTCATTTAGGACATGAATGAATTCTTAAGAGATAATGTTATAGACAACTAACATTTAGATGTGAATAAACTCAAAGAAATTATTACATCTGAATCAATGGTGACAGCAAAACATATTAATTTTAGTATCATAACGAAGTGCAAGTTAAAACAATCACCAGCATGGCTTAAAGTGGATCTACTTTGTTGCATGAAATCGCTAGCAGAGGATTAGTACTAAGCGTTCCCTCTCCGTATATGACTTCGAAAATTGCTCACTATTTAACATATATCAAAAGATTTTTCAATATGTAGAAGAAATTTTTAACAAAAAATTATTTAGCTTACTGGTACCTAAACTATGTATTAATTAGAATGAACAAATAGCCCAGTTTTAGGAAATGAAGATGACAGGATTTGGACACTAAGTATAACAATGTTCCTCAATATTATACGATATTCTGAGGCTAATGATGAGTAACATATACTTCAATTAATCTTCATTGAGTAGTTCATTAAATTTCAGATTGCCATCACATTTAGTAGGTCGGGAAACGATAAACGCTTGACAGCTATACCTATCATTATGCTGAATATATAGGAGGAAATCCATGAAATAACCAGTGTTTACAGAATCATATTTTTAATCCAAAGTCATCGATTTGAACATCTTATCTATCATTCATCTTCATACGAGTCAGTATGAAACTCTGGGTACATTAACTGCACGAATCGAAAGTTGTTTTTCAGTAATTTTATTGAGACGAACACTCGGATTTGAAAGGCAGTTAACCTTTGCTTAACATTAAAATTGGCTAAACCCATCAAATTCACGAAAATTCCAACTATCTTAAGTTAACACCACTTTTATACGAATTTTAAAGGTAACGATTTTTCGGATTAATAATTATAGACTGCAATGGATTTGAAATGATTATTGTTTTGTTATTTCAAAAGAAATCATTACTGAAATTTTGTCTTTGTTTTATTCTCTAAAACCAATACATCACTTAGAATGCTACTAAGGATGACGAAGCCGAAAAATGTTTTGAAATAGTACTAAAAGGTGCTAATTTATGCATTGAAAAAGGTTTATTTACATTGGACGAAATGGAACCATACCTAGAATCAGGTCAGTTATATTAGTTCATACAAAACTTTATTACTGAATTAACTCTTAGACGATGAAAGAGATTATAGTAGAACAATAATGGTTTACAATTTCCCTAGTAGTTCACATTCTAAATTGCTTGAAATATAACTGCAGATGGTATTTCAATTGCTAGTTTTATAACAGTAAAG